TTTTCTTAAGGCAGAGTATGTTTGGAAAAACAGAGAAGTATGTTTAAGGTACATGAAAATGATTTAGGAACAGGATCTATTTGCATTAAAAAAATAAAACTATCTAAAATGTGCAGTTTCAAGACTGTATTTCAAATTCAGATGGGATATGATGGCAGCTGTGAATGCAATTTCCAAAATATTTATTTTCTAGATGTCTCTCTATGAAAAAGAAGCAATGAAATTAAGGTTGGAACTCGAGAGAGGAGAAGTTCTTCATCAGCATCTGGAGAGTGGTATGTCATTTGCTAGTAAAGAGGCTCAAATACAGATGTATTCTACAGAGGATGAGCTATGCGATATAAAAAACAAAATTTTGGAACTGCAACGTAATTAAAAAAAAAAAAGAGAAATCATAGATCAGAGGCTACGTCAGTCCCAAGTCATTAAAACAAGCAGAGATTGCACAAGGCTTTACAGTTACAGCCTTTTTTGAAAGTCTCTTATTTTCCCATGACTTACTTATCTGCTTCTGTAAGCTCATAAGAGTTTACAAAACCCTTGCTCATATGAATTGAATATAACCTGCTAAGCCTATCAATACCTTTATTTTCCTCTTGCTCCTTACCTTCTGTTACTCCTTCCCTCAGCGTGTACAGAATTGTAATTAAGGTGTCCCTCTCCACTTCCTGCTTATCACTGTGCCAGCAATTCTTCCTTTTCCATTTCAGGGGAAAAAAAATAAAATTGAATCCTGTTTATTTGTTCACACTCTTTCCAAAAACTTTTTCTTTCCTCCCAGGAGTTCTCATAGTACTGCTTTTTTATTTCATATTTTCAAATATTTCTAGCTTTTCACTGCTCATATCTATCGTTGAAAGGTGACTCCCTGTGCTCTGACTTTATGATTCAGAATTCTGAACAATTGCTTTATTAAAATTACACTATATTACACTAATACTATACTAAATTACATACTAAAATGACACTATACTAGAAGAATACTAAAGAAAAACCCATGACTGTCTGAGACAGCCAGGACACAGCTTTGACCCAGTTGGCCAAGGAATCAAAACAACCTTCACTGGTGTCCAATAACCAAATCATTCAGGTAAACAATTTCCATAACACATTCCACATGTGCAAAAGCAGGAGCAGTGAATAGAGATAAAAATTGTTTCCTCTTCTCTAGGCTCTCCCTGCCTTCCCCAGGAAAATCCTTGGGAAGTTGCCCTGCTGTTCTCTGTGAAGAGATCTGCGGCCACATATACCCAGTCTCTTTGTGTCTTCTTTGGTTTTGTTTTCATACAGATAAGGTGTGTTATGACAGTAGTCTGCAAAAAGGAAGGGTTTTACCTACACATTTTTTCCCCTACTTGTTTTGCATTCAGAAACTCAAACGTTCTTAGTCCTTCTCAAACAGAGAGAGATTTCTTACATTTAAAAGCCAGGGAGATGCATTTTTTTGTTACCTAAATAAGTATAATACTCTTTAAATTTGATATGGGAGATCTACTTGTGAAACTATGGTGTTCAGTAAAAAGACTGGAGCATTCCTAGAGTTTGTAACCTTACCAGGATGGAAGGAGACTCTGAAACTTGCCAGTGCACTTATATGACCTAATAATTATTTTTAAAGATAATAAGAAATATGCACTTTCATTCATTTGGAGAACACATAAATTAGAAAAATCTTATGGTTGGTTTAAATTTCTCAAACTATTTTTGTTTGGTTCAGGTTTGTTGTTTGTTTTGGGTTTTGTTTTCATTTTTGTTTGCTTTGGTTTGGTTTTTTCTTCGTTTTTTTCCTGGTTTTGTTTTTATTGTGACAAATGTCAAAGAAGCCAAATAGTTCTGGTGTTGCTTCTCATTTCCTTTCCACTTTATAACTTACTGCTTCTTTTATCCTGGCCTCTTGGAGCCTTGTTCACCTCATGTGGTGCTTTTGACACAATCCCAACTTGACTCTTTGGACAGAGCACCTCACTTGTGTCCTGTCTTTAGTATTTTCTCCAAACTGTTGTTCTGCTGTTCTTCTTGAGGCTTGAATTCCTGACATCTGAAAGGTCTTCTCCATCATTGTGTCCACTAATTCTCTGTGTTTTCCCAACATGTCTCTTCTGGTTGTTTCACCCTTCTCCAGCTAGGAAGAAATTTCAGAAGAATGGGATGAATTTGAAGTAAAAATCTATTAGAAAGTGGTGATCACATAAACAGCAACATGTCTAGTTGTACTCAGTAACAGAAAAGGCCAATACAAAAATATTTTGACCCAAAAGCCAGTTTGTGAAATAAAGCAAAGTCCCTAGTAAAACTGCTTATAGGAAAATAACTTTTCCTTGGCATTTAAGCTTTCACAGTGAAGTATATGCAAGTATATCTTGGGGCACTTGCTGGGCTGAAGATTTAAATCTCTTGAGCAGCAGTAAATTTCCCCAGAAAAGCCAAGCCTTTGCTCATTAGCCCAACCTGCCTTAGGTTTGCCTAGAGTCATTTTCATGTGGCAGGTGTCTGATTTTACTGTTACTTAAAGTGAGCTTGAAATTAATTGATTGATACAGACTGAAGTATCTCATAGATATTTGAAAATAAGCTAACCAAGTGTTGCAGAAAAATGTAATTAAGTTCCCCATGCTATAGAGGCCTCACTTGAAAAAGTTGAATTTTTATTCCTCTCCAAAGGGAGAAGAGTTTTAATTTGTAAAAATTCTCCACAGCATTTCTATGTCCTTGTGTGAAAGATGCTACAGGAGCACAAAATGTGATTGTTTCTCTGTAGTGAAACTGGAAGTGTTACTGTTCCAGTGTTTCACAGGATATCACAATACACAGAGGAACTTATGTTCATTATCATTTAATTCTGAACATGCTTATTTGCAGTGCTATTTGTCTATTTTTTTTTTCTTTTTTTTTTGTAAACATCGGTACTCAATGACAAACATCAGCAGAAAGCATCAGAGAGTTAACATCTTTTATTTATTTATTTTCAGTAAATGTTTCCCTAACTGAAGTGCTTAGAGTCAGGATTCAGTCTCACATATTTGCTACTTTGTTTTACCTGTCCAAAATTAATGACTTCACTTGTATCTGTGTAACTGTAGGTGTCCTAAATGATTTTTAATATTAATGTCTTTTTCTTGATGTTTGTTGCATCACTTGAAGGCAGGAGTCATTTTGGGGTGTATTGTTATTTTCAAATCAGTCATCAGCCTAAGTGAAAAGATTTTTTTGATAGGAAACAGTGTAGTTAAAATTGCATGTGAATTTCTATTATATCACCTCTATAGTTAATGCTTTTGCTAAAAGCATTTTTTCAATTGATATTCCATGTCCATGCCTTTATATGGAGGTAGGTATCTGTGAGTACAAAAAATGCAGCAAAAACATAATCCTACATCAATTTCTTTAACTAAACAAAAATTTTATTTGAATACTCTGAATATGTAATTGTTTTCTTTTATTCATTTATTGAGTTTTCACAGTTTCAAAGTGCAAGTAGTTCAGATACCACAGGTTTAGGAGACCTCATAAACTGAACAAATAAAGTTGTCTTTGCATGATGTTATCATCTTTTTGGACTTAAATATTTTCAAAATGTACTTTAGGCAGCTGCAGTGACAATAAAGGAACTGGAGGAAAACACTGCAGCAGCAAGACTAGCACATACACAATGTAAATCCACTACAGAAATCATGCAGGTAAACTTTTAATTAAATATTTGGTAGAAGTTTACCATGAAACAGAAGATGAACTTGTAAAGGTACAAAAATCTTTGAAAAATGCTAAGACTTCCTTGCTCCACTGAAAACACTGAGTGGATTTTTTGCAATGAGTGTCAAAATTGTAAATGGTAATAGAAAAATATCTCCTTTTTTTTCAGGGGAGTATCAAGTTAATAGAATAAATATTAAAATAAAATGTCACATTCTTATGTTTGAGAATTCAAAGTAGCATTGAAACAGTGAGGGGAAAGGAAATGTTTCACAATAGTTAAACTGCTGAAATATTCTGTCCTATATCTTTGGAATGGGCACTTAGGTAATTTCGGAGGCACAGTGCATACACCCAACTTCGCTAGGTGTGAGATATTAATGCATCCTGAGACTGCAGTTCCAAATTTTAGCTGAGTATATTTCAGCTTCAAAGCTATAATATTTGCAGTTCCCAGAGATGTTTGACTACATGAAAAAATATAATATGTATACTTGAATATTAAATTCTTTTGTTATTAAACTGTATCACAGAGGGTTTGATCCATTAAAGCAATTAGGGTTTATTTTAAAAAATCAAGTGTGAAAAACCTGTAAGATAATTGCTGAATGATCTCATACTGACTAACAAAGCCTTCATACTGGACGTTTGAAAAACTATATGAGAAAATAAAAAGGAACATCATCTTTTTTTTTCTTGTTTTCTGAGGAACACAAACAAACATTGCCACTTCTTCAGTCAGTTATTTTCTTAGGACCTTCTCTAAGTACAGGCACTTAGATTTCTGAGGCAATGATTAAATAAGTAGTGATGATTCAGTTTTTTGATTTCCTCTCTATTTTTACAACATACAAAGGAACTAGAAGGGTAAGATTCCTTGAAGTTAGAGATTTATCTTTCATGGGTGAAGAACTAGCAAGGTTTTCTTCCTTGGTTATGTACATGAACAAGCTCCACATGAGCTTTGTTCTGAGTGCAAGTGTAGCTTTTACTGTTAATCCTACCCTTTTATGAGTCTACTTAATGAATAGAATTCCCCTGGAAAACTTCAGTAATACAAATAATTGAAAACAGGAAAATCCAAACACCATGAAAAGACAGCAAAATATGCGTTTCGTCAGCATATTCATTTCTCTCTGTTTTGAACCCTATGTATTAATACATTTTTACATGTGTTCAATGCTTTCTAATTCCATATAGAATTAATAGAATATATTCACCTGTAAAAAGCAGAACAGAACAGTGAACAGCATTAAAGACCATGGTAGTCTTTCTTAACTTCCTTTAATTGCTTTCTTACTATTTGATAGTCGAGAATTCAAGAACTTGAAAACATTTTGAAGGAAAACCAACGTGGGATGAGAGAAGATTTTTCAGGGGTAGCAAGGAATGATTCCAGAGAGCCAGAAAATGCACAGGAGAGAGGAAAAAAAAGGGTAAGTTTCCTTTTAAAGCCATTGCTTTAATATGGCAGTAGACAGCTTGAGTACAACTCATAGTTTACATTCCCTGCAATTTTCAATCAGCAGAAAATCTAGTGCAATGTGCCAAACCAAACTAAATGTTCAGAATCTGGCAAGGAAAAAAATCAGTTTTCCTACAAGAAAGGAAGTTTGTGGCCTGAGCAACTCATTCAAGATTCATGGTTGTGGAGATGTTTTTTTAGTAAGGTACTTAAAACTTGAGCTGGAAAAGCCTTTTTCATCCTCTGCAAACAAATTTTAAGCAAGCTTTTGGCTTTCCTGACACTGTGCCTAAATACTCAGGCAATCTTTTAAAATTCTTCCTTGGATTCCTGTCTCTGCTTCTGTCTCCTTTATGTTGTTGTTTGGTCTTGTAGTTTCCTCATCAGCTGCCTGTTTAGTCATGCCAGGCTCTTGATAGGTCTGTTTTCCTGACTGACACAGTGCAAGAACAGATTAAAATTCTGGGTAGTCTGCTTTAAAAGTCATGACAGAGTAAAGTCAGGCATGTGGAAACCTTAGGAGCAAGAACTGTACTTGAAATCAGGTTGATGATGCAATTGGTGACATGGTCTCTCTGAGAGAGAGACCATGAGAGCTGTTGTGTTAATTAAAATATGACAAATTCTATTTGCTATGTAACTTTGAGGCCATATCCAAATATTCTTATGAACTGCATGACACGAGGCTTGGTAACTGAAAATATAACCACTTGAAAAATCTTTCTTAGAAGCAATATAAATTTCTTTGTTCAATTAAGAAAGGCAAGCAACTTCAGAAGCCATGTGGTGTGCTAATGTGGTATCTGCCATATCCATTGATTATCCTTTAAAAGAATACAGTGCATTTGACAGAAGTAATTTTGGTTAAAGTGTCTTACTGTGGAAACTTTCCAGTTCACGAAGACAGCATTTATCCTCAAGTGTGCAATGGAAAGACCAGGTTGAAGAAAGGAAGGAAACTGAAGAGCCCTCTGGGACATTAGTGAATCCTCCAGCCAGTTTCAGCCTGAACGAAGGCTCAATGGTAAGGAAAAAAAGCCAGTGGCACACAGTGATTAGGTTTTTTTAAACATATAGTCCAAGTATTTTCTGTGCTGAGGATTTGCTGCATTTGCTGTGCTGAGCTGTGTAAGAACTCTGCCAGTCTCTTAGCCTGTTTGTTATTATGTTACTTTTTAAAAATTTAATACCTGAATAAATGTAATCAATGCCTTGGAAAAACGAATTTGAAAATGTTTTTTAAGTGATACGCATCTATTTAACTGAAGAGTTGTTTTCAGAAAACTGCTACTTCAAAATGTGTTTATTTCTATTTCACACAACCTTTTAGTTTTAGTACAAATATTTGTAAAAATTGCTTGAAAATTGCTTGTTTGAAGGTGACAAATCAGAGGGGATTTTTTTTTGTTGTTGTTGTTTTGGTTTTTGCTTGTTTTGCTGTGGATTTGGCACATTGGATGTATTTCACTGGATTATTTTCTGAAAACGTTCTCCTCTTATGTGACCACCTTGGGCCTTTCTACTGTCTTTACCCAGCTACACGCTGAATAACAATTTTGCCATCTTTTCACATAGCAGCAGGGACAAAGGAAATTTCTTAGCATGTTTAGAAAATCTCTCCTTTCATTGTGTGATAACATTTGCTCTGTTTCTGCTCCTAGCAATATGAAATATTTTTGGTGTTGGCTCTTTCTGTCGCAGAGTTCTGAGCATGGAAGGTACATGAGGTCTGTTCCCTGTTGACAGGAGCAGAGACCTGCATCAGAGAGTCTTCGGATTTGTGGGTGTCTTTTGTTCAGTTGATGGAGTTATTCCACACTTTCTGCCCAGGCAGATCTGTGATTCATGAACTGAAGGCAAATAAAATCAGGATCTTCTTTTTCCTTTCTGGGAGGATAGCAACTTCTTCCATGCAAGCATTAATGTATTAAAAGACATTTGCTGGCCTAATTAGCCTGAAAAAGTAATATCATCAGGCACAAAAGGAATACCTAGAGAGAAAAGCAACTGTCTGCCCTAACTACAGGCATTAATGATTGCTATTTATAACTGCAAAACACAATTACTAGCTGAAATTCTACTAGAAACCTAAAGTGCATGCTAGCTGTTGCTGTGGTAGGACTTTTCCTTTTTATTTGTATTCCTTAGTAAAATATATGTTATACATGACAAGAATTCAATTCCATTAATGATTAAGATTTGTGGTAATGGAAACAGTATTTAATGGCGTACTCAAAATTATTGTTAGGTTAGTAAAAGTTTTTAAAAAATTGTCTCACTGTCATATTCATAGAGCTGGTTGTTTTAATTGTTTTACTCAAAGGATTTCAAACCACAGGACTGTCCTGAGCAGGTGATAAAAATATTCATTTTTGGAAGAGTTGTATTAGTGGTTCCCTTATGAGACCAGGTATTTCTTGCCTTGGATAGCTTTGCATTTTTCCCAAAGCTGTTTGTATTTGGGAAGCAGGAGTGCCTGTATGTGATCCTGTTTACTCCATTGAGACAGCTTTGATTTTGCTTCCCAAAATAAAAAGCAGAAGACTATAGCAGAAACTAAGTACAGATAACTTTAATATATTGCTGCTGTGTAAGAACTCTGCCAGTCTCTTAGCCTGTTTGTTATTATGTTACTTTTTAAAAATTTAATACCTGAATAAATGTAATCAATGCCTTGGAAAAACTAATTTGAAAATGTTTTTTAAGTGATACGCATCTATTTAACTGAAGAGTTGTTTTCAGAAAACTGTTACTTCAAAAATCTGGGTAGGATGTAGCATTCCTAATTAAGAGGGCATTTTGTAGACATGGAATATGATTTCATGTGAAGAGTATGCTGTCTTTCTACACAAACTTTTTTGTCAAGTTTCGTTAGCTACCATTGTAGAAATGTTTATTTCTATTTCACACAACCTTTTGGTTTTAGTACAAATATTTGTAAAAATTGCTTGAAAATTGCTTGTTTGAAGGTGACAAATCAGAGGGGATTTTTTTTTGTTGTTGTTGTTTTGGTTTTTGCTTGTTTTGCTGTGGATTTGGCACATTGGATGTATTTCACTGGATTATTTTCTGAAAACGTTCTCCTCTTATGTGACCACCTTGGGCCTTTCTACTGTCTTTACCCAGCTACACGCTGAATAACAATTTTGCCATCTTTTCGCATAGCAGCAGGGACAAAGGAAATTTCTTAGCATGTTTAGAAAATCTCTCCTTTCATTGTGTGATAACATTTGCTCTGTTTCTGCTCCTAGCAATATGAAATATTTTTGGTGTTGGCTCTTTCTGTCGCAGAGTTCTGAGCATGGAAGGTACATGAGGTCTGTTCCCTGTTGACAGGAGCAGAGACCTGCATCAGAGAGTCTTCGGATTTGTGGGTGTCTTTTGTTCAGTTGATGGAGTTATTCCACACTTTCTGCCCAGGCAGATCTGTGATTCATGAACTGAAGGCAAATAAAATCAGGATCTTCTTTTTCCTTTCTGGGAGGATAGCAACTTCTTCCATGCAAGCATTAATGTATTAAAAGACATTTGCTGGCCTAATTAGCCTGAAAAAGTAATATCATCAGGCACAAAAGGAATACCTAGAGAGAAAAGCAACTGTCTGCCCTAACTACAGGCATTAATGATTGCTATTTATAACTGCAAAACACAATTACTAGCTGAAATTCTACTAGAAACCTAAAGTGCATGCTAGCTGTTGCTGTGGTAGGACTTTTCCTTTTTATTTGTATTCCTTAGTAAAATATATGTTATACATGACAAGAATTCAATTCCATTAATGATTAAGATTTGTGGTAATGGAAACAGTATTTAATGGCGTACTCAAAATTATTGTTAGGTTAGTAAAAGTTTTTAAAAAATTGTCTCACTGTCATATTCATAGAGCTGGTTGTTTTAATTGTTTTACTCAAAGGATTTCAAACCACAGGACTGTCCTGAGCAGGTGATAAAAATATTCATTTTTGGAAGAGTTGTATTAGTGGTTCCCTTATGAGACCAGGTATTTCTTGCCTTGGATAGCTTTGCATTTTTCCCAAAGCTGTTTGTATTTGGGAAGCAGGAGTGCCTGTATGTGATCCTGTTTACTCCATTGAGACAGCTTTGATTTTGCTTCCCAAAATAAAAAGCAGAAGACTATAGCAGAAACTAAGTACAGATAACTTTAATATATTGCTGTTGGTCTTTGCTATACCCATGCTTAAATTGTGTAAAAATGTCAGTGTGTTCTATTACCTTCATTTTCCCTTCCTGCTTTCCTGACCTATACAGTACTTTTTCATATTTTATACCACTTTTATGCTCCCTGAATGTGCTCTTTCCACTCCAGTCTGATAACCTTATATTCATTTCTGACTGTGCTGATGCAGTGGTTTACATACTGTGTCCTCATGGCTTTGAGAAACAGCTTTCTATTACCTTAATTACCAAAATTTCTACATCACTTGTATGTACTAAAAGTATGAAGAATTGAATTTCTACTGCATGCTGTTGTTGCTAAAATTGTTTATAGCCTGAATCAGTTTATTATACTACTGATTAAAATCACTGTAAATAAATGAGGCATGGCTTGTGGAGTTTGATGGAGCTGTAGGCCTATTTTGGCCAGCTATTTAATCATATGTAACCCATGCAAAACAAATTTTTAAGATAATTTAGAGTGTGTTATGCTGCCAAGCCAACTGGACAGTTTTCTGTGTGCTGTGCAGGTGTTGGGGCACAGTTTGAATGCACCTCAGAGTATTAACATGGGTGAATGAATTGCATCCATTAAGAGCATGGATATTTTTATCTGTGCCAGGTCATGGTTGTGGCCCCACCGGACTGGGATTTACTCACATACTTTATTTATATACTGTGTCTAATTAGATAAATTTTGTTAAATCTGTTTTCTTACTCTGCTGTAATATTATGCAATATTATGGCTGCAATTATTAGAAATGAACTGAGGAATTTTGTAAAGCTGTGAGAATGAACTTTGAGGGCTTGTTTTCAGCTGCACACAGCATTGCTACTACACATATGATGGACTGCTTTTGATTTTAACACTGCCCAGCTACAGCAATTAATTTTCCTTTGTGTTCCAGAGGGAGCTGTCCATCCTCCTGAACTTGTACCAGAGCATGGCAAACGCCCACGTGCTTGCCAAACAGACAAATGTCCCCCTGGAACAGTTACCTTGGACAGAGCTTTGTGCACTCATGCATGAGAATGTTGAAGCTCTGATCTTGAACTTCCACAAGGCTAATGAGAGGGTGAGTGTCCCCAGGCACCAGCTGCCTATGCTGAGCTCAGTGACATTTGTTCACTCTGCAGTCTCATTAAAAAGGAGCCATATTCATCCCCCCCAAAAGGATTTGGACGCTAACAAATGAACACCTTGAATTATGGCTTGCCCACTGCTCAGTTTGATGCTGTTGCTGGGCATGTTTGATGCATGTTGTGGGCCTTTAGATGTGACTGGAGTGTGCATCAAGTCTCTCAACTCCACCTTCTGTGCAGGACATTCTGAAAGGAATATCTGATACTAGCCACAGGGACCTAATTAAAATATAGTAAATTCATCTTACTGATGAAGAATTTCACAGAATGTACTCATTTACAGTCATAAAGTAAGTCTTTATTTGACCATAATCCATAGGCTTTCTCCAGGAATACCACCTTTTAATTATGTGTTTATGATTCAGATGTACTATTTGAAAGAATGCCAGTGTGGGGGTTTTTGTTTAGCTGTAACTTTTGGATTAGGACGTTTTTATTCAGAAACACAATAGAAATACCTATTATAAAACATGTCAGTATTTGTGTGAAGGAGGAGCTGTACTTTTCTGAATGGTATTAATGCAAGTGAGCTTACATGGCCTTTCATCCCAGAAAACCTTGTGTTTTTAGGAAAAAAACAAACCTTTTTAAATAAGTCAGCTGGCTCCAGAGACTAAGTTAAGAGTGGCTAAGCCACTCTTTAGGGTTTCACTTTGTGTTCTGGTTTATTTCTCTTTTGAAGAAGGGAAGGGAAGGGAAGGGAAGGGAAGGGAAGGGAAGGGAAGGGAAGGGAAGGGAAGGGTTTGAGAGTTTA